AATACGGAATCTAAGCAATGTGTTTATAAATTCATTGACAACATAACATTTTTTTACTGTTAAGAACAATTTAGACTATTAGGTAAACGTAATGGATTTTGACACAATTGTTAAATAAATGTCGCTACATTTCAAACTATTAAATTAATTTGTCTTGGACAGGATATTAAAAAATATATTGATAACTGTTGAAAAATGTTTCATATCTTTGCCTTTAAATATTATTATCTAACACTTTTACTTGATTCACTAAGTGCCATTGCCATCTCATCCCACAGCTTGTCTAAAATACCTCTGCTCTTGTAGTGTTAATGCTTTGCCTGCCACAGTGCAGGCCTACAATAGTTATTTTCCTACAGTCACCCGACAAAGTTGGCTTCCTTGTACTGTTGTACAGTGTACAGAAAGCTGCTAATTGCTGCATATTTATAATTTGCCGTACGGTTTGTACTTTGTCGTACGGTTTATACTTTGCCGCACATCAGGATTCCAACAAAACAACACAAAACAGCGTGGTTCTATTATGCACGTAATCCGTGTACGCTTGGAAATAGGTTGGCAACACTTAAAGATAATAATACTATGAGCAGCTGATTTACTATTATAACTACGAGTTTATAGTTTCGGTATTTCTGAACTTTCTGGACTTTTCTTTTAAACGTTTTTAAGACATTCCTACGATCTTAATAAACAAGAAAATACCTTTAAAATCATTTTTTTTAGGTGCGGAAACCACTTCAAATTACAAAAACATACGGAACTATATTCTCAAAACGCGGAGCACATTTCTTGCCGAGGAAAAATAGCGGAGTGATACGGACCGCGGGTACTACTTTCTCTAGGGCACCATTTGTGTTGCCAGCTGAACCTAAAAACGTGTTGTATAGTGTTTGAAAGACTAATTATTTATATGCTTTATAGTGACTGTAGGAAAAATATAACGTGTAACACGAGTGCAAAAGGCCTTTGCTGCACTTGAGATCTGCCCTCGTGTGCAGCAAAGTGCCACTTTGCTCACTAGTTACACAAATAACTATTGTGTAACTAGTGTGCAAAGTGGCACTTAGCTGCACACGAGAGAAATGATTACGCACGTGCCGCAGGCGAGATTGGAAAGTTTCTCGAGTGCAGCAAAGGCACTTTTGCACTCATGTGTCATTATTATATTTTTCCTTAAGCTTAAAAATAATTAGTCTTTTAAACACTATACAACATGTTTTTAGATTAGGTTAAATCCAAGTGTTGGAACAAAATGAGAAACGCTGCACCAGCTGATCGTAGTATCATTAAGTGTTGCTAACTTAATTTTCAAACGTACACGTATTACGTTCCCAATACAAAAAAAAGTACACTATTTTCATTTTGTGTTGTTTAGTTGGAATACTGGTGTGCGGCAAAAGTAAGTAAACGCATCAATTAGCTACTTGCATGGTATAATCGGTGCAAGTAAGCCCACTTTGTCAGGTAACTGTAGGAAATAAACTTTGTTAATAAGGCTTGGCAAGGCTATCCATCACTAGAACTTCACGAAAAATGTGTGTTGCCGCTCCAAAAAATCAAACTCAACTGGTTCAAATGGAGACGCGCCTCATCGTGCCCCACTCTGTGTGTTCTTTATTAGAAAGTACATACTTGGTTTAAGCGTCACGACACGCCGCCATGTACTGTGTGTTTTTACAATAAAAATTAGACCATTTATCGACCAAAATTGCCTTAAATATAATTTACTCTTATGCCGTGAAAAATATTACTGTGAAACAGTCCAACATTATACAAGTAAAAAATCACTTATAAATATCTTAGTAATCATTAACATACTATGTAGGGATGGACGGGATTGAATTTTGAGTTCCATACGGGATTTTTATTTCCTTTCAATTTTTGGGATGGGATGGGATGGGGGTTTTTCCTACATGCAAAAAGGGCTTTTTCACCACACTATGATGTTTTTGGCTGTATTTCATAAGTTAATTAGTGGCTGAAAGTTACGTTTTGCTGGCCATGCCAGCTGTCATCGTAATTTGGGGCCCGAGCAGGTTTTTACAGCCCGGGGCGGCAAAATCAACGCTTACTTACTTAAAACATGAATGCATTTTAAATACACAATCAAAACCCATAGCATTGCAATAGAATTGTGTATTGTCACCGTTGCCTAGCAACTATTTTTGTTTAGTTTTGCTGATTCCTCAAATTATTTCTTCACATAACCTTAAAGTTGTAGTTGTGTTGACTATCAGTGTGCATTATTATAGTGGTGAATAGTGGTAATAGGGTATAGTGTGGTGAAAAATAGCGTTCGTACCACGAACCGAAATGGTTTTGCAGCTCTCGATCGATTTAAGTTCTCAACTTGATACAGGGAAGATATTGAGGTGTTTTTTTTTATTGCAATGTCCATAGCTTAGTATTAAATAAACGAAATTTCCAAATTTGGTTTAAATATATCCATAAACAAGCAAACTTCAACAGTTTGTTTATTCTCCATTAGAATAACATAGGAATTTTAAATTTACAATTTTTTAAATTATCTCCGTAACTGTTGGGCATACAACAACGCTTCAATATACTAAACTATTTCATTTTTTAAACTCTACAAACTACTATCGAAATCGCGGAGACATAATCATCGTCTGTAATGGCGATATCTCCGTGATCGAAAAAACGGCATCATTGTCACTCCTGAAGCGGCAAAATTGCTGACAATTGAACCAATTCCCGTACCAAGAAAATCTTGATACAAATCTAATCCCGTCCTAATGATCAAGAATATTTTTCCCTGAAATTTTGCGACCCGTCCATCCCTAAATAAAGTAATCTTTGCCAATCAGTAATACCACTAACAAGGATACAGCTAGAATACAATAAATATAGATTAATAAATTTGCCACAAAAATAAATAAACAGTTTGGAATCAATTACATTTCAATTTTTAGTTAACATTTACACTCTTACTAGTAGGTAATAGGTGCCATCTCACAATAAAACAAATACAATAAAACTTAAGTAGACTACAAAAGCAGCTGGACACAGTGCAAGAACTAATCATGTTCTTTCTACCACTAAATAGCAAAGACACCTGGGTTGAGTCAAGTTCTGAATGAAAATTCGAATTAAAAACTAGGATAAATTAATGTTTAAAGTTTTTTTTCTACGACTGTACGTAGAACATGTGATTCAAAGAGATGACAGGTTTGAGATTATACATTTTAATGTTATTTTTTGTCATGCTAGGACAGTTTAAGAGTTAGCCGGAGTCAGCTGAGCTGAAATCTTCACGTCTGAACATGAAAGGAGTAACTTACATTTGTAGTTACCAATTAAAATATTTGCAGAGAGTAAATATATTTTTAAAGGGAATAATTAAACCTTTGACTGTTTAGAGTGGTTTAATTATTTAAAAAACAAATTAACTCAAAATCTAGTTAAAATCTAGTTTAATCCCTTTAAGATTAATCACCCTTTAAGAGTTGCTTTATAAAACAAATATAAAAATTAAAATATTAAAGTTTAAAATAAAATAAACTTTTCTGGTTTATGACACTTTAAAAGTTAGTAATAAGTCATAATTTTAAAATGTTTGAGGTAAACAAAAACATGCAATACAGTACAATAACTTAATAAAAAATAAAATGTTGCAAACTCCTTTTTAAGCTGCAGTCTTAACAATACAACAGTGGCAGAACATTTCTAATACTACATAATTAGAAAATTTAATTTGAGTTTGTTTTTTCAATTTGACAATTAAATTACACACCACATTGACTGATGCATAATTATTACAGTATGAGAAAATTATTCAAACAGATTGATAGCAGCCTAAAAACATTTGCAAGTTTACATTTACTGTCCAAATCTATGTGAAATCCGTCCTGTCCATTGCAGAGTAAAAAATCCTACGACTACATACTGCATAAGAAATTTACCGCCTTGGATGCCACAGCCTCTTAAATGTTAACGACAGGGAAAGAAGAATAACTGGAGAATACAAACAATCGTGGAAAGTTGATTTTTACAATACAGTAACAAACATTGTCTACATCCGACATGAAGGTATACCTGAGAACTGGAGCGTCTTATTGGTGACACTAAAGGCAAAGTGAAACATACAAATAAATAAAATAGTATTTTCAGCTTAAAACAAAAATAACTCCACAAAGAAAGTTTTTAAATAAAATAAGGTATATCTATATAAAAATTTAAAAAACTAAAATCTATAAACATCTCACTCAAGCTGCCAATAAAAGTACACCAGCTCTTAACCGACCGGCCCTTGCAGGACTGGACCTAGGGATAAACTAAAAGGTTGAAATAACGGGAAACTATGTAAACAAATAAAATGCTGTAGGCTACAAACAAATAAACAACTCAGCTACATACATCAACTTTTAGATTTTTTTTCTTATAAAATATACTGTGCTGTTCTAAGTATGGAAAACCATGTGTTGGTGATGTAACTGTTATAATTTACAGTAACGCAGAAAGACGTCTCTTCTATACTATAGTACTTTTTTTCCCAAAGACGCTAGACACAAGCGCAGGATTGTTTTACACATTACTTCAGGCTAGACCTAGGGGTTGCAGCATTATCACTTAGATCAAATCCATTTGTGATATGGCTGGATTTGAACCTGGGACCTCAGGACCAAAGTACCACGCTCTAACCACTAGACCAGCTCACTCCCCACTTGACTATACTATAGAGTACTGCACTTTTGACACGTGAAAATAGAAGTTATAAAAAAAAAACTTAAACATATACACGAGATCAAACAATTTTACTAGATCTAATTAAATATAAAGCTGCATGTGTAAATGACAGACTGATCAGGTATGAAAATGCTAGTATTTCTAGAAGAGCTAGAATGTCTGAGAGTTATTACATTTTATAATACACCCAACTCATCTAATATACAATTTAGTCTGCATTTATATTATTTATATTTATTTATTTATTAATAGTCAGAGATTAATCCAACTAGTTTTAAATTTTTTCCCGGCAATGTTGGTAGATCCAGGGTCGGTTAAGAGAGGGTCTACGAGTAACAAAACTACAAAACTTAAACAACATATTTACAGAAAAGCTTTTGAAAAGTACTTTAGATTACAGACTCATCGGATGAGACAAGTAACACAAACGCGCGATGGGTCGATGCAGTCGTCGTGACAAAATGCACCACACTTCTTGCACGCAATCATCGCCTTGAGGCTGCAATGACAGTCGGCTGAGCGTACCGAGTGTTTGTTGGGGTAACATCCCGGCGTCGGTGAGTCACCTCCGCCACCCTCCCCTACACTGGCCGGCCGACCCCTCCCTCCAACCCCCACCATGTTCTCGTTGTTGGAAGGGGGAGCGCTGTTGGATCTTCGAACCTGTGCACCAGTCCTTTGCACCAGAACGTAGTGACCCATCTGACTTTCTGCAACCTGCAAATAAATTGCACTTTATAAATAAGGCTGGCATGCATGAATGGACAAGAGTCCAATCCGATACCAGATAAATAAACGGCATCAGCAATCTGACACATACTACTTTCTCCCATTTGCTTGTCAACAACCTTTATCATGGGTACGGTAAGTGATGAGAGTAACTATGATATTTAATAGGTAAAATCACAAAAGTATCATTAACTTTTGAACCGTAATTTTTACAGGAATGGGGGGTTGCACTATGTTGTTAAGAATTGTAAAGAAAAGATTATCACATACAAATTTCAATCAAAACCGTTTTTTTTTTAAATAAGAATTTCTCTTTTTTTATGGGTTTTTTTTATCGGAAAATAATATAATTTACCATAACTTTAGAACCGTGATTTTTACAGAAATGGGAGTTACACCATTTTGTTCACAATTTAAAGGGCTGCAACATACTAAATTTTTATCAAAATCGTTCCGGCCATTTTTGGCCATGTGACCCTAACTTTGCCTGAAAAAAATAAAGGATTTTTCCTTTAATTTCAAAATAAAAATTTCTAATTACCTGATTTGGTTCCTACTAAAAAATAGTTTGAAAAACTATATTTAGCTGAATTATTTTTAAAGTTGACTAAACAGTATTAAGAATATGCAAATATAATACGCTTTTTTCTTAAACCAGACAGAGCTAATATTATCCAGCTGATCCATAAGGATAATATCAAATCCATATTGGGGTATTTTTAGGGGGTATGCTTAAGGTGAAGTTTGAATTTTAACAAAAGAAAGATTTAGTTTAGTACCAAGACACTTTTCAAACTGATCAAACGCCTTACATACATAAGGAGTTGTATTTTTACATTATTCTTTCCAAAGAAATAGTGTCATGAAATTTTGACACACTTTGACACACTTCGAAATATGTTAATATCAATTTTTTAAATTGCATATTTTAACATTTCAGATTAGATAGTTACAGTTATTTCAGACTTAAAAATTGCATCTACATTCTAAAAAGACCATAAAATACACGTTTTTTTATTTTCAAATTTGCTGCTAGTTTGGAAAATGGCGGCCATTTTTGAAACAATGGAATCAAGTACAGAACAATATCCACAATATGAGGAATAATATCTTATATGTTTTTATGGTATTTTTAGAATATAGATGCAATTTTAAGACTTATTTACTCTAAGCATATTCTCTATAAACTTACTCGTTTAGGAGCTACATGACACAGAATGTACACCGTGGCATGTAATTTTTTCTTAGTTGTAATACCCTGTAACTCCTAAACGAGTAGCTTTAGACAAAAAATGCCAAGAAAAAAAATGTTTTAAAAAAATTTACTTTCTATAGATTCTATAAATTATAGGGCCTCCTATTAGAAAATCAAACATGGTGGTCATATTTAAAAAAATGGAGACTAAAATTATTTTCTCAACTTGACTAACATAAAAAACCTTTTTTCATAAAACCCTGATTCTGAAAATGATAGTTTTTTCCGTGCAAAATGTCGGAAAACTACGGAAAAGCGGAAAATCTTTTTGTTAACACAAAAAATTGGTAATGTACAATCAATTTAAAAGGTAAAGCGAGCTGAACAAGAATATTCAAGGAGTTTTAAGATATGATTGATATTAACGGAGATACGGTCGGAAAACGGAAAAATAAGTAAGCTACAACCGTAAAAGTGTTGGTTAGGTTAGGTTAGGTTAGGTTAAGTTGGGGGCCAGGTTCGGTTAGATTAAGTTGGGTTGGGTTACTGACAATACCAATGTAACCTAACCTAACCTAATCTAACCCAACCTAACCTAAGTTTTGTTCAAGGAAAGGCTCTAGGCCAGGATTTTAAATTGTAGAAAAAGGTGGATAGCATCTAGCTTACCTTGAAAGTGTAGGTAGGCCATAGAACATGTAGAAAATACACTGTGCATATAATATTTCGTCCCCTGAGGGACTTGGTCATGTGTAGAGAAAGCATAAACCTAACCAAAGCTTTGTACAGTAGACTCCCTTTTATACAAACCCCTTTTAACTAGACATCGGTTTAACTGGACTACACTCGGCAGAAATGACATCTCTTAAACCGGACAATTTTTATCAGCACATTTGGTTTAACCGGACTAGATCGGCAGGAAGTGGGCGGTACCGTAACGACTTTCCTCGTGGGAAAGATTTGAGACCGATCACAAGTCTAAATACAATGCTCTCCTAAATTTAAGTCGAATATCACAGTAAACGGTCCATTTTAACGAGTTTTTGGGGACGTCGGTTTAACTGGAATAACCGTTATCCGGACTGGCCTCGGTCCCGAGGAGTCTGGATAAGTGGGAGTCTACTGTATAGAATCTATATGGCAAACATCAAAATTAATCAGTCTTATAGCTGCATAATCCTTAGATATTTTATGTGTACTATTTTTCTGTGTCATTGGCAACCTTATTTTTTAAGGCAGAGGTATTTATTTTTATAAATAAATTCTTTTCTCTTTTCTCGGTAATATCCATCGGATCTTGAAACTTCTTGCATATATAATTTGAGTACCCACATGACCTATTTCCGCGAAAATGTTTTTTCCCGTTTTCCGGGGTTTTTCGAAGCAAAAAAAAAAACTATTATTTTCAGAACCAGGTCGTTATTTCCTAGATTTTTTAAAAAGAAAATTTAATTTTCTGAGGGTACACTGAGAAGGTAAGATTTAGCAAAAAATCCAAGGCAGTACCAATTTAACTGTATAATAAATTAATGTATATAATAAATTATAACTTAATTGTAACCTGTAGAGGTAGGTTACCCGTATACAAAGAAATTTATGACAGAAATTGTTCTCACAAAGAAATTGATGTATTTAACCCTGTATTAACAATTAATCATGATGAGTGAGAATACTCCTATAGCAAAAAACTGTAGCCCTTTAAATTGAAATTCCACTGTATCTTACACCCATACCTCAGGGTTGTTGGCGGGCTGCGTGTGAGGCAGTACAGCCATGGTTACAGGAATGCCCTGTGATGAAGTGAACACATGTTTGACTAACACTGGGGCTGTTGGCCTCTGTTGATATGTCCTCTGCTTGCCTGCCAGCGCCTTGGCTCCTCGCGACGACGTTACCACGCTGTACTGCGTCTAAGCATTTACAATTGTTGATCAGTATCATTGACTCTTGGTTCAAATAAAATAATTCTTTATTTGTTAACTTACATAAATAACATGTATTGAATAGAGTCAAATGTAGGCTACGAATACATATATACAACTATTACAAAATGCTTAAAATATATTATAAGATTTACTGTCAACAAAATGATCTTTAAAAAGTGAAGAATTTCTAACTGAATATTAAAACAGAAATATATAACATCATTGCAATCAAAATAACATAAGCAGTTAATAAAATAATAAAAAAAAAAACATAGCCAACATCCATTTTCTGGGCTTAAATACAAAAATTATACAAAAAAGGTTTACTCATCATGGTGAGTGTTTAAATGGTTTTCCTAATTTTTCTAAGGAAATCAAATTCAAATTATGTAACCTACTAATATTTATTTTTTTTAAGTTTTCTATGAAATAAAATGGAAATTTGATTTAAAAGTATTTTAGTGTTCTTTTAAATTTATTTGAATTGTCTTCCCTCTTTATATGAGCTGGCAGGTGTTGCAAAAAAGTTAAACCTGAATAGTTAGTTCTTTCTTTGAAAAATTTTAATTTATGTCATGGTAAGTTATTTTTAAACCTAGTTTTATAGTCACCAGTATTGATTGAAGTGGAAAACTATAGACGGATATTTCATAAATATACAGAACTGTTAGGATTTGTAACTCTAAAATATCTCTTAGCTGAATCTCTTTTTTACAGTTTCTTCATTACATGAATAGCCTTATTTTGTTTTATAAGGATAGAATCCAAATTGGTCTTTGTCGTTGCTCCATAAATAGATATTCCATAAGATATATGATTATGCAGTAATGAAAAATATATAATCCTTAAAGTGTCTATACTGCAGATCTGAGACATCTGTCTCAAAGCATATACAGGGTGGCTGGTCATCAGTGTGACAAATTTTTTTTGGCGTAAGTACAAAGTAAATGCAGTATAATGATGCATATAAAAGGTTCCAAGTCCAAAAATTAGCTTCCCAAAGAACTATTTTATGTTGTTAAAAAATAACTATGTTTTCAAACTTAATACAGCTATTTCTCAATTACCTGTAAATGGATTTGAGTAGACAATGTCATTTTCGTGTTCTACATTAAATTTTGAATAAGAATAATAGAAAATGACGGAAGATCAGTTGTAAAAACTCCATTGTAAATAGATTCAAAGATAAAAATTAAGATGTTTGATAAAAATTTAAAAAAACATTGGTCTATTGTATTTGTTCACACCCTGTATACAAGAAAGTGTCCGAATATGTTAAAAACTGCGCCATTTTATAAGCTTTCTAACCATATGCTACACTATTGAGGTTTAGATATTCTGTTGTTTGTTTTAGTGGTTTGAATACCAGAAAACAGGGTGTCCTTAACATTTACAACATAGAACCCGGCATGTATTAAGCAAAAGTTGTATTTTTGTTTCAGCTTGAACAGTAAAAACAGTAAAAAAGTTTCCTGTTTTCTGACTCAATTTTTGTTTTTAGACCATTGACTCATCGCAGGCCAAGACTATCAGCCTCATCAATGATGTAACTGATGTCTCTGCGTGAGCCACGCGCATACATGAAATAGAGTCTAGGGTATAATAGAAACACAATAAATTGTCACAATACGTAACCAAGCTAAAGGGAGAAAGGTTGCTGATACCAATTATTGATACAATTATAGTAACTATAGTTCGGCCGCTTACAAAACGACCTCCTCTAGCGTTGGTTTAGCATAAGCACGCAGGTCGCTTTCTAAGCGGCCAAACTATAGCTGCTGTACCCGTGGGTTGCAACGGAGATGACACTGAAGAGAAATATTTGGTCTTTAAATTTGTTATATAAAATAGCTACAAATCTGCATTTGGTTTTGGAAACAAAACTCAATTGGACCTCTTAGTTAAAAAAAAAAAATATCTTTCTTGAAAGCTAGGCTAACTTATAAGATGTATCATAAAGTATGATTTATATTGAGGCGCAGATGCATACATGAAAATACTGCACTCATGCCATTTAATTTTAAAATGATACCCTTACTTAAAAGGTAAATGTTTATTTAGTTGAAAAACTTACATATAAAGCCAAATAGGTAAAAATAATCACACGACATATGGTAAAACAAAAAACTATTTATATTGATTTCACATAAAATTGATAATTTTTACTCCAACTACTGAACTGGTGTATTGCGCGGGGGACCGGCGATTTTGGGCAGCTTTTTTGTTCGGAAAAACTGCTCAAAACGCTAGAAACGAACCTGGATCCTCACTTCTAGGAACAAAAGCTAAGATTTTATGTAAATCAATTTTTGGCTCTGGGGAAGCACCCACTTTAAGTTTTAAGTTTAAGTGTAAATTAACCTATGCCATGTTTGACATAAATATTATTTTTATTTATAAAATTTACTCCAAATTTGAGGATTATTTTTATATAATAATTTTTAATAATACTATCAGCGAAACTCCAGCATTGCCTGGGTCAAAATACTATGCACAATAAAACACATTTTTAAGCAACACTTTAATCAACGTTTATTTTCTTTAAAAATGTTTAGTCTCTTCATAGCTAGGGTAGTGGTCCAGGACCTCCAGGTCCACATTCACAGACTTTCTTACACATTCACAGTTTTTCAACAATTTGTACACGTTTTCCATCCATGAGCAGGTTTGGATTTTTCCTTGTTGTCTCATTCTTGTCATTCAATTGTCGTCTTTGAGTGTTTTTAAGTCCCTTATTAAGATGTTTATTTTGTCAATGCTGAGAATTGTGGCTGCCTTCAATGGTTGTTTCGACGTCTCCTCTTTAAGTTTTAAATACTCAGCTTTATCAATCTTCTACAGGTCCAAGAAGCAACTCCAAAGATGGTTTAGCAGGATTTTTTTTTGTCCTAGGACGCTAGGCACGAGCCTGGGATTGTTTTCACATTACTTCAGGCTAGACCTAGGGGTTGCGGCAATATCACTTAGATAAAATCCATTGGTGACTTGGCGGGGATTGAACCCGGGACCTCAGGGACTGAAGTCCCGCGCTCTAACCACTGCGCCAGCTCGCTCCCTTGATGGTCTAGCAGGTAGGCTTACCAATTAATTGTCCGTCTCAAAGCACTCTTAACCTATTAACCTAATGAAATACCTAAAAATCCACTATACCGGTACAGGCACTAGGCCTAAAAAAAATCATAGTCACTAAACAAAGCCTTTTTTATATCTTTTTTTTCAACAAGCCTGCATCCCCCCCCCAATCCCTTTCAGTGCTACGGTCACGAAAAGTGCTAGGTTCCGATATATTGGATTACGTAATTTAACAAAAAAATTCTAAGATCCGATATATCGGATTTTACAATAATGCATACAACTCTGCTGTTTAATGTGATATTTTCATGCAGAATGCGGCAAATTGAAGGGGAATAAGTTAGCTAATAGGAAATAACAAACACCTAATGTTTTTATATAGTGCGTGTGCCACAGTGATGACGTAATCTACGTGGCAGTGGCGTCTTGCCGCTTGAAACGTAGTAGCAGACTACAGCTGCGAGATGCTTTGCTTACAATCGCGTATTGTGTGTTTATATTGTGTTGCGTGTTGTTACATACAACTAATTCCATTATTGTCGTTAACAATTTTGGAGTAATATGGGCGACCAAAAACGTTCTAAATCGCCAGTTAGCGAGGGTACAATCGGACAATTTGCTAGAGAATCAGGACTGAACATTGATTTTTGTGACAGTGAAAATGAAGGTTAAGATATTAGTAGTCTGAGTAGTGATTTTGATGTTGACGATACGGATGATGATCCAGCTTTCAACCCTGATCAACCTAGTACATTGTCAGGAATTCCACCACGAGGTAATAGGCTACCTTTGTTCATACCAAGATCCAGGCAAACGCCCAACTATGAAACATCTGACTCAGAGGCAGATGACCTTGAACCAACTAGGCCTACACCTAGGGCTGTACCTAGAGGCGATTCTAGTACTTCTAGACGTTGTAGAGGTGGTAGGAGTAGAGGCAATAGAGGTAGAGGTAGAGGAGCTAGGGCTGTCAGACCAAATGTAGCACGTACACAAAATGTAGCAGAAGACAGCAGCAGCTGGGATGAGGTCAAAGAGGGTAATGACCAACCTCCTGACCATGGATTCCAATTTTTAGAGCATAGTGGGCCTAAGCATTGCCCCCCACCAAACTCAAAACCTATTAGTTACTTTTACTTGTTCATAACAACCTCTTTACTACAAATGTTTGTAAATAACACCAATCGATATCCCCGTAAGCACAGAAAACGTACTACTATAACCAGAATGCCAACCGCATGGTAAAAAGCATTAAGCGGTTTGAGAGAGCTTTGCCTGTCAATCCGTAGGCAGCGCCACCAGCGTTGCCATGCAATAGCATAGCAACGCTGGTGGCGCTGCCTACGGATTGACAGGCAAAGCTCTCTCAAAACACTTAATGCTTTTTACCATGCGGTTGGCATTCTGGGTTATAGTAGTACGTTTTCTGTGCCGTAAGCTCCATGGGAATGACCAAGACCTGTCCCCTTTTAGCCGGATAAGAAACTGGGTGGATGTAAATGTGGCAGAAATGAAAGCGTTTCTTGCCATCATTCTAAATATGGGGATGATTAGAAAACCGAGCATAAAAAGCTATTGGGACACTCATTTTAGTTTGGAGACACCATATTTTGCAAAAGTGATGGCAAGAGATCGTTTTCAGGCAATTTTAAAATTCTTCCACCTCGTAGATGTCGACACCCTACCTAAACACGGAGAGCCAGGATATGACCCTTGCGGAAGGTTTCAACCCATTATAGATCATGCTAATAGATTGTTTAAATTTTATTACTATCCAAGCAAAGCATTATCGGTTGATGAATCTCTAGTTGGCACAAAAAAACGAGTCGCCTTGACTCAGTACATGCCTGCAAAGAAACATCATAAATGGGGTATTAACCTCTGGGTCTTTTGTGACTCTGTGACACGATATT